CAAAAATGGGCTCATAGTACTCAGTGCTGTCCAACAGAACTTTCTGTGATGATGAAAATGTTCTAGATCTGTGCTGTACAGCATGGTAGCTACAAGCCACATGTGGCTACTGAGTACTTAAAATGTGGCTTCCTGCTGTGACTAAGGAACTGAATTTCCAATTTGATTTAGTGTAAAGGTATTTTCATGTAAATGGGCACCTGTAGCCCGTGGTCATGGTTCAGACAGCGCAGCTACAGCTGTTGTTCTGCAACATGGCTTTTTCCTACTTAGGAATATTTTATGGATATTCTTCTACCTCAGTACGTCTGCTGTGTCGTCATCACCATCAAATCCAGCCCTTCTGTGTTAGGCACTGGGATAGATGCATTGTTTGGATTGAGTCATTTAATCCTCACGACAACCCTACTATTGTCTCTGTTTACAGCTAAGGAAACTGAGTAACAGGGCTGGTAAGTACCTGTCCCAGGTTCACACAGCTAGTAATGGTGGAGCCGGATGAGGACTTGGTGGTCTCAGAACCTGCACTCTTAGCCAGGTGCCCACAGGCCTCTCCACTCCCTTGCTTTCAAGGCTGGATTCCACTGCTCTGTCAGTTTTTAGCTCTTCTCCCCAATCCAGATAACCATTTCCATCATGCTGGGTGAACTGAGGAAGTTGTCCTGCTGGGTGCCAAAGGGAGAGATTCAGCTGCACCCGGTTTAGAAGCCATCCTGCCAGGGCGGAGCCTGTGGGACCGAAAGGGAAAGCCTGCTTCAGGCGTCTGGAAGGAGGTGGTCTGTGGTTGGTCCCCCTGGAGGATGGAGAAGCTGGGCAGAGCAGAGCTTCCTGCAGAAACTATCTTCAAGCCCCTGCTCACCCATCACTCCCTGCCAGCCTCTGACACTCACACTTTGGCCCTCAGCCTGCAGGTACCAGGCTCAGGGAGGAGGCCAGGGCCCCAGGGCTGTGAGGAGGGCTCCCACGCTATGGGTGTGAATGTCTGCAAGGGGGCTCTCCCTATGCCCACCAGCCACCAGCCCCCCTGGAAACTGAAACTGAGCAGCTCAGGCCTCTCTGCCTGTGAGCAGAGCCCAGTAGCTGGACAGACACCAACTGCTGACATCTGGCTCTTGTTTTGTAGTTTATAGGGCACTTTCCAAACCTCATTTAATGTTGTGATAACGCCACAAAACAGCAAGTGGTAGCTGAATTGGAACCTTGCAAAACTTCGGTGAAAGTCAGGATGAGACAGCTGGTGAGCAGAAGAGACAGCCCTTCCTGTCCTGAGGAGGCTGAAGGGACCCTCTCCCTGGCCCTGTAGGAGGCTGGGCATGTGCTCAGGATTTGAGCCAGGCCTTTGTTTTTCCCTTTGCACACCCCACTCCTGCTCCCTCTGCCCCTTGCTGTGGAGGGACCTCCAGCAGAGGGGCTGAAGCTGGGCCTCCCACCCCTGGCCTGGGGCATCAGCCAGCTCTGGCTTCAAGCTGGCACCAGGCAGTGTCCAGACTGCCCTGCCTCTGCTGGCTTCCCACCCACTCCGTGAGGAGAGCTTCATGTCCCTAGGTCCATCCCTGGTTGCTGAGGCTCTAACTCTGTTTCTTCCATTTCTGAGCCCCAGGGGAAGGGTGGACCTCGAGGAGGCTGGCATTGCTGTGCACCAGTGGTAACATCGAACAGAGGCCACCAAGAATAAGAGAGTGTGGGCTCTACACTAACCCAACCCAAATCTGATCCAGCTTTGCCACTTAACTGTGTGACTGGGCAGGTTTCCTAACCTCTCTGTGCATCAGTTTCTTCAGCTATAAAACGGTGACAATAATTCTTAATGTTTTGTTGTAAAGATTAATGAATAGGGTTGTTGATTCTGGGTGGTGGGAATATGAGTAGTGGTTGTCTTTATCTTTGTATGCTCCTTTTTTATCTTTCTGCTCTCTTTAAATAGCAGGCCCTTTCTGCTTTGTAGCATCCATGTCATTTTGGAGCTGACTCTGGCCCCACCACTGCTCATGCTCCTCCATTCTTCTCCCCAGGCTGCTCCCGGCAGATCGGCTTCTCGTTTGTACGACCCAAGCTCTGTGCCTTCTCTGGCCTCTATTACTGTGACATCTGCCACCAAGACGATGCCTCAGTGATCCCGGCCAGGATCATCCACAACTGGGACCTCACCAAGCGCCCGGTGAGTCTCGAGCCCAGCCTGTTGTGGCCACATAGGGCTGCCGAGTGACAGAGGCGCGGTCGCTCCTCTTTGCTGCTGCTGTTCATATGTCTGGAAGAATTTGGCTCTAGGGAAGCCAAGGTCACTAGTTCAGGCCCCATGATCTGGGGGAGCTGACCAAGAAAAGTACTTGCTGCCAGTCTATAGCCCCTGGGCAGAGCTCAGTCAATGCCTGTCTCTGTCCTCAGGTGGGAATCTGAGGATAGTTCTCTGCAGCTCCCCAAGGCTGCAGACAGACTGTTTAAAGGACCAGCAGCTAGGGAGTGGGGGAGGGAGGGAGGGAGGAAGGAGGGAAGGAGGGAAGGAAGGAAGGAGGGAAGGAAGGGAGGAAGAAAGGAAGGAAGGAATTACACATAGGATAGATTAGATATATAGATGGATGAGTGGATGGGTTGGGTGGATGTGAATGGGTGAAAGGATGGAAGAGTGGATAGATGGATGAAGGATTGGGTGGATGTGGAAAGTGGATGGGTGGATGGGCTGGTCAGCTGGCTGCACTTCCCCTTGAAGCAGTCTGCCTTTTCTGTGCATTTTTTTCAAATATGCATCTACTTTTTGTAAAGTTGGGTTCATACTGGACTCATACTGCTTTATAACATGTTTTCTTCACTTAGTATTACATCTTGGATACTTTTCTATGTTCACCAAATTCTTTTGAGTAAGATGTATTCATCAGTCTTTGAGATTTTCCTCTTCTTCAGCTGAGCTTACCCACGCCTTTGCTCTCCTCCCTGACTTCTAGCCAGTCACAGCATCTTGTTTACCTCTTTGGGAGTTTCTCCTTTTGGATCTTAGAATCTAAAGAATCAACTTTTTCATCCCCTGCCTCCAAACAGGAAAAGTTAAAAAAGCTTAGCCTAGACCAGTGGTTCGCAGTTTTGTTCCCCAGGGGACACTTGGAGGCATTTTGTATTGTCCTGATAGGGGGTGGGGGTGGGGTGCTACTGGCATCTAGTGAATAGAGGCTGCCAGAGATGCTGCTAAATGCGCAGGCCAGTCCCCTATAATGGAGGATTATCAGACCCCAGCT